GATGGTTTATGGTTCTGAGGATTTTAAATTCCTGATAAGGCAAGAATTATAACTAATTTAACTCTGAATTCTCTGGTACCTCGTACTAGGCTGGGAATAATATATGTTGTTATGTAATTACTAGAGGCCTGGTGCACAAAATTCGTGCATGGGTAGGGTCCCTAGGCCTGGCCGGCGATCAGGGCCAATCTGTGGGTCGACTGGCGGAGCTATGGGGGGGGGGGGCCCTGCTGGCACCTGCCTTAGCTGGCCTGGGGCCTGCGAGCTGGGGGCAGTTTCTGTGTTGAGTGTCTGCCCCCCTGGTGATCAGTGCACGTCATAGCGACTGGTCATTCCGCCATTTGGTGGCTTTGCATATTAGGCTTTTATTATATAGGATTACCTAATCCTATAATTGTGTAATATTTTTATGAAAGAAAGCCTTGTGGAATAGCAATGGGTGAACAAGAAATGGAAGAGGAATATTTCGATGAAAGTCATTTGCGCCGTGAGGACAAAAGGATGGGAATCTCACCGCTAAGATATCAAAACCTATGCACGTTCATGAAGAAGCCCCACAGGCACTCAATCATGAAGTCCAAACAACAACAAACGAACGATGTGAATATAAGCAAGGCTTCTTCTGAGTTCTCTTCACCGAGCGGCTGATGGATTTATCCGGGAGTTAACAGGTGTCCGTGTCTGCACTCATAGATCCGTGGACATACAGGTCACACACAGATCACGTAAGACGTATATGACACAGGTCGGAGAGCGTATAGCGAGAACCACTCATCTACGCACACGCACATCCTGACACGTGTATCTACTTGTATCCCTCCCTCCCTCCTCGGTTAAGATGCCGAAAGCTTTCTAGGGACCATGCTTGCCCAGGGCTGGTGGCCCAGTTTCCTAAAGAATGAGGCTGCTGAGTCAGAAAGACAAGCATCACATGATCTCACTCGTATGTGGAATCTAATGAACAAAATAAACTGCTGAACGGAGTGGATCCAGAGACGTGGAAGCATGAAATAGGCCAGTGATGGCGAACCTTTTGAGCTCGGCGTGTCAGCATTTTGAAAAACCCTAACTTAACTCTGGTGCCGTGTCACATACAGAAATTTTTTGATCTTTGCAACCATAGTAAAACAAAGACTTCTATTTTTGATATTTATTTTATATATTTAAATGCCATTTAACAAAGAAAAATCAACCAAAAAAAATGAGTTCGCGTGTCCCCTCTAACACGCGTCAGAGGTTGGCCATCACTGCCCGATCCTGTATCCTTTATGAATCAATAAAAAAAAATTACAATTTTTAATGATAAACCTGTGTTTTCTATCAAAATTACTTCTTGCGTGAATAGGAGGGGTCAGTGGGGGAGAAAGGGGGACATCTGTAATACTTTCAATAATAAAGATTTTAAAAAAAAAGAATGAGATTGCTGAACCAGCGAGGCCTGTCTGTGTGCAATGAGACTGGACGCTGCAGCTGGGAAGAACCCCTCACAGTCCCGAGGCCTCAGGGCGGCAGCGTGGCCCAGGACATGCTCCACACGGACCGCAGGCAGCCGCCGCTGGGCTGTTCGGGTACCGAGCACGGTCCCCCCACGAGAAGCGCAGCCTCTACACCGTAGATTCCACATACGAGTGAGATCATGTGATGCTTGTCTTTCTGGGCCGGGTTTTCACTGAACTGCCACTCCACAGGAGGGGGCTTGCTTCGGAGAGTTGGCCCCAGGACTCTCTGATGATCCACATAAAACACGCGGGTCCGAGGGGCCTTTCTCACGTGGGGAAGAAACAAAAGGCAGCTCAGCACACCCTGGCCCTGCGTCCGCTCCGCTCTCCCGGCGAGGTGCGCCGTCCCGAACACGCGTGGTGCTGTGGCCGCAGTGAGCCGGTGACGTCCGGTCACCGACAGGCAGAAGGCCCCGGCAGGTGCCACGCAGACAGCTCGTGGGGTTCCGAACTAACGGCCTTCCTGAGCGAGGCAGGCGGGCCTCCTAACCCCGCCAGCAGATGGCTGGGGAGTGCTTAGGAGCTGATGCAACTGTAAAGTTGGGAACCACATAATGAACAGTGTTTTCCTACGTCAGGATCGTCTTCCCAGGCCCAGAGATTTCTTCTGATGTCCTCGGAGTCGCGTGGTGATGGCTCCCGCATGTCCCGCCTCCCCGCCCCCATCAGTGCTTAAGTCGTGTTCTGCAAACGCTTTGCATCCACAGCAGAAAACTGTGAGCGCACTGCCTACAGCTACTTGGGCACTATTATGGACACATCCATGATGCAGGAGAATCATGGATTGGCTGCCTCCTGCACGCCCCACACTGGGGATCGAGCCCGCAACCCGGGCCTGTGCCCTGACCAGGAATCGAACTGTGTCCTCCTGGTTCATAGGTCGATGCTCGACCAATGCGCCACGCCGGCCGGGCCATAATGAATGTTTTATTCAGCACAGCAATACTGACATAAACAGGCCCCAAGGAACCCCACGTGCCCACACGTCTCCCCGCGTGTCCCAGCACATACCCTGCAGGTACGAGTGTCTCCAGCACGGAAGACCAATGACAGCATCAGCTACCACGGGGGGCTCACAACCCAGTGAAACAATCACTTCTTATAAAGTAAGCCCTCTGCTACCGCGTGGTGCTTTAACCCTTTTCGGTCCAACGTCGAGGCTGACTCGACAGACCAGGTGCTAGGAGCAGGTCCAACGTCGAGACTGAGGTCGACACTGCAAACCGGCTCAACATTCAATCATGTAAATTAATTTGGACCAGACTGTTTGAATTCCAAAAATAAAATTGGACCGCAAAGGGTTAAGCTATTAGTAACGATTCTTCTTGAAAAGAGGTATGATAGGCAAAGTGCTAGCACATCCGGGGCCCTTGATAAATGTCGGCCCACGAACCCAAGGGCCGGGGGTTCGATTCCGGTCAAGGGCACATACCCCGGTTGCAGGTCCCCTACCCCAGTGGGGGCACGAGTGGGAAGCAACCAATTGATGTGGCTCTCTCACATCAATGTTTCTCTCTCTCTCCTCTCTCCCCCGCCTCTCTCTAAAAATCAATGGAAAAAGTATCCTCCAGTGAGGATGAACAAAACAAAAGAGGAACCAAAAAAAGAAAAGAATGAAGGCCAACCCTCTGAACCGGTCCCAGCCACCCCCTCAGTCTTTCCATCAGGCAAATCCGGAGCCAACAGGAGAGAGGCCGTCCCTCCCCGGGGAAGCAAATGGTCTGACTCTCCCAGAAGGAGGAGGTCGCTGACGTGGCCAATTAGTGGCTGCGCGTCGTCTTGGCGCATATGTTCCCGAGACGAGGAACTGCCGAAATGCATCCAAACCAGTGGCCACAGCCCACATCTGATGACTCACTCAGGAACAAATGGGTACAATCAGACCCCCAGAAAGCACAGGGCGGGGCAAACGTAGGTGTACACTTGTGAGGGGGTGCAACCGTTTATTCTTGTGTTATTATCATTTTTATTGATTTCAGAGAGGAAGGGAGAGGGGGAGAGAGAGAAACATCAATGATGAGAGAGAACCGTTGGTAGGCTGCCTCCTGCACGCCCCCTACTGGGGATGGAGTCTGCCACCCGGGCATGTGCCCTGACCTCGTGATTCACAGGTGGGCACTCAACCACTGAGCCGCGCCCGGCAGGTGGAAACCAAGGTTATTAGTCTGACAACGAAACAGCCAAGAAAGTGGAAACATTTAAACCCCACTTTGGCAAACCAGCAGGAATGACCAATGACCAGCCTCGGCTATAACACAAGAACACGCGGTACAGAAGCCACAGGGGTGTGCTACCCAGCACTGGGATGCAGTCAGTAATGGCACAGCTCTGCCCGGTGACCGTGGTGACGCCATGTCGGGGTGGTCACATGGTGAGGTTCATACAGGCAGAATCACTAGGACCTACACCAGAAACGAACACACCGTCGTCTGTCGACTATATTTTAAAGGAGAGCATGTTCAAGATGGAACAGGCAGGCAACCACCATCTCCCTCACCACCCTCCTCCTTCCTGGGCCCTCAGTTCCGGGAGAAGACCCGGCGGCAGCAGGGGGAGCCTGCAGAGTGCGCTCGCCAGGGCAGCTCTCCCCACCCTCTCCTGGTCACCGGGCCCCCGGCAGAAGCACCTCCCACTCCAGCCATCAGTCATACTAACTGCTTTTCTTACAAGCACAAGGGGAAACGGCACAATCCCCCCAAAAAATACATACAGAGGCTCCTATCTGGTTCCACAGCATTTTGCACATAATCTTTATCATCGCACTAAAAATATAGAACAGTGATGGCCAACCTTTTGAGCTCGGCGTGTCAGCATTTTGAAAAACCCTAACTTAACTCTGGGGCCGTGTCACATACAGAAATTTTTTGATCTTTGCAACCATAGTAAAACAAAGACTTCTATTTTTGATATTTATTTTATACATTTAAATGCCATTTAACAAAGAAAAATCAACCAAAAAAATGAGTTCGCGTGTCACCTCTGACATGCGTGTCATAGGTTCGCCATCACTGATATAGACAGCCCATCTAAAGCTACAGACAAAAATCTCAGTTCTGTGGGCTCCCGAGGAAGTCAGCCTTCCCTGGCCTCCCCTCCCCTCCCCGCAGGGAGGAGCTGTGCTGCAGCCTCCTGGAGCCCCGAGGCCCCGGCCTCCC